GGTCCTGAACTAATTTTTAGGTACTCTAGAAAATATCTAGCCCTTATAAACTCAGAGTGACCTCTCCTTCTTCTCTTCTGAACTCTTTGATGATGATGATGATAGTGGCCAATATTCAGTAAGTATTTACATGTGCCAAACAGCCTGCTATAAGTACTTGGAAGTATTGCATTCTAATTTCTTTCTCACCATCTTTTAGCATGGCTATTTACATATGTATCTTCTTTTTCCTCCTAACTTACAGGTCTTTGAGGACAAAAGAGGAGTCCTGAGTCATTTCTGCTTTCTCCCAAGTCTAGCATAGGGCCTGGCACGGAACAAGTGCTACGTAAATATTTGTTCAGTGAATGAATGGATAGGTAGGGAGGCAGAATTAAAAGTTTACCTTTGTTTGAACAAATGGTTTGGAAGCATCCTTAAACACTTGAGAAGCACTCATTTATATCCATATAATTAATAGACTAAATTATAAATCATCCTGGTCTTTTTATGACATAGACTTCCAGGCTTTGGTTACAACATATTTTGTTAGTGTAGTTTGGATATGAAAATGGAAAACATATATACATATAACAACAAAATTCCTTCTTATACAATGATTTTTAAATTCAGATGTCTTCTCTAGACAATCATTAGTCATGACTTCTCTCCCCTAAGAAGTGAAAGGTTTTTCAAGGGTTATAACATACATACATACATACATACATACATACATACATACATACGTGATATAATTTGTTTGTTACTATATAATTTGTTTGTTACTATCTATCCACCACTTTTGGTCCTCTGTTGCCTCTAGTGCATCACTGTAGGCACAGTTATGAAGACAGGAAGTCACTGCAGAGTAAGAACTCTACCTGACTGATTGACAAACACTCTTAGTTCTGCTGAAGAGTCCACACTTTAAAGGAGGCTGAGCCCAGCTCATTAAGGATTAGGGTGCCACTGCTCTGAGACCTGAAATTATCCTTTTCTTTTCACTTCCTCTAGGAACAAAAATGGAAAACTGATAGCAATAAAGGCCAAAAATAAGCATTTCTGAAACTCCTATTATAAATGGTTCAGTTTTGTTTTAGTGAGTAAGAATTATAGTTTGTAAACAATTTTCATTTTAAAATTCTGTACTAATCCTAAATTAAACCAATTCTCTTATCACATTTTCACTTTTTACTTAAATAAATACATGCTCATTATTCAAAACCAAGCCTGGCTTAGAAACAGTGGGCCCACTTTTTCCTTTCCCAAACTGAAGCATAGATTAACAGCACAAATTCTGACACCCAAAATGTCTTTCAGAACACCTAGGTAAAATTAGAAGATTAAGGGCACAATAGGAGAGGAGTCCACAAGTGGACCTGCTCAATCTCTATCACAAAGGCCAGGCTGCTGGCAGACTGCAGTGTGTTTACTCAAAGCCTGTGCTATCAATTAGTTTGCTTAATTATCTCAGGCTCGGCCAGTTCAAGAGGCAATTTTTAAAGGCCTCCGTGGCTCCTCTTTGTCTTTTATTCCGGTTATTCACAAAAGGGCTTTAAGGACAAGCTTTCCTTGACATTCTGGCTCTAGCTAGTCTCTGGTAGCCAAAACATGCATTATGTGAATCATTACAATAAAGCAAAACCACAGGTCCTACGTCTTAGACAGGGCTGTGAGGGAGCATAGAAATTCTAATGCACATAACAAAATACATGAATGGGCCACTATAGCTCATGGTTTAGAAATTCACTTTCTAAGAAGACCGGGAACAGCACAAATGACCTGACCTGTGTGTGAACACTAGATGTGAGCACACCTGAGTGATGGAAGACTCCCTCCCTGCCTGGTTTGTGGTGTTCAGGAGGTAGCGGAAGACTGGAGGAGGACAACACGAGCAGTTAGGGTTACTTTTCCCACTCTGAGAATAGTAGCTCACATAAATGCTATTAGAATTTCCTAGGTAAATCATATCACAGAACCACCTGGACCTACTCTTACTTACAGAATAATCTGCTTTTGCAATAAGTCCTGCTAATAGAAATTTGCTAAGCAACTGAAGTTGGACAAAGACATTATACTGGGGGGAATTAAGAATTCTTAGAAACCACCAAGAGTAAATCACTTATCAAACTACTTAATTTTCCCTAATTTGGAAACTGTAACATTTACTGCTCAAAAATTGCAAGTCAGAAGCCTGGGGGTTCATTTAGATTCTTTCCCTCATCTCCCATATCAGGAAGCTCTTTGCTCTCTTATTTAGTCTACCTCTGCTTAATATATTTGTTCCTCTCTATTTTTACTGGGCCTAGAGGCACTCAATATTTTTCACATGAACCATGAAAAAGTCTCTTTGCTCATCCTTGGCTGCAGCCATCTCTACAATTTGCAGGAGTGCTCATTCTGGAACAGAAATTTGATCTTGCCCAAACAATTCAGTGACAGTAGGTCCCTGTTTTCCTTTGAGCATCATAAGAACTAACATTTAAGGAGCACAGTTAATGAACCCTTACTCTCCATGGTCACAGGGACATCTAACTGAACACAAAACACTACATTGTTTTAAATATTCATGCAGTTCGGCTTGGGATGCCCCTGAAGCAGATCTTTAAATGAGGATATGGATGTAAACGTAAGAAAGTAGGGCAAGTGAGAAAGCTGAATAAGGAATTATTAATGAATACGCTATTGCTGGGAGCCCTGCAAGACAGTGGTGAACATATCTCAGAGCTGTTCTGCTGAGGGACAGGAAAGCTGGAGCATCATCCACTAGTTTTCTGTTCGAGGGTCCCTCCTGCAGGTGTCCCCCTGACCTTAGGCAGAGAACATCCTCAGGTGGAGAAACAGGGCTGTCAGGTGTGCTAACGGCAGCAATACTGTCTGCTTCTCCGTTTTCCTTCTACTTGTTCAATATACTTTAAGGTACAGCCTACTGACAGGGTGAAGGTGAGTATATCTTTAATCTCTGTGAGTTCGAGGCCAGCCTGATCTACATAAGGAGTTTCTGGCCATAAGGGCAACAAAGTGAGACCCAGTCTCAAACCAAACCCTAGACTTCAGCCTACTGAAGTGTTTCTTAATCTTCTCTTGAGATGTTTTCCTTCCTTCTGTGTACATTCTCTTTGTTTATATGTTTAACCGCACATCAGACTCTGCCCCCCACCAAGTCAGTGTTGTTAGTCCCTAACACCTGGCACACAGCAGATGCTAGGGGAGAGTGCTGCTGGATAAGATCATGATGGTACATGAAAGAAAGAAGAGAACCCTGTTTTCCACATATATCAATGAGAAAATTTCCAAACAAATACATGTTAACCTTCTGAATAATATTATGTCAAGCACAGACCTGGAAGCACCAAGGCAAAACCCTTGAGTCCTAATTCAAGTCAGTTTGGCTCAGGTGCTTTCCCTATTGCAATGAGGTGATGGGTGGCCTTTAGATTGCTTTCAAGTACCACAGACCTCAGATGACTGAATTTGTGTAAGCACAAAGTAAAGACTACAAACTACACACCAATCACATACACAAATACTTACCTTTGTGATGGTCATTTAAATTCAAAATGAGCACAGCTGGAAGACAAAAATGCTGGCACACTAAGAATACTATGCACTACAGATAAAGAGCAAGAACCAGAAGGAGTTTGCTGTCTGAGAGAACACCGGGTAGGAACTAAGTGGGCACAGTGGTGGCTGTGAACTAGCATCAGTGCCCAGACAGCTGTTCCTGCCCTCAGACTCTCCCCAGTGTTGTAGTACTATTTCCCAATTCTATTCTCAGAAAGGCACTTTGTCTACATTCTTGGATAGAAAGTAACTACTAGAGACACTGAACACAGGTTATCTTTGCTTCCCTGAAGTCCCAGACAGTTTTAATCTTCCTATAAATGTTACAGAGGTGAGGGACTAGGTCAGAATAAGGAAGATTAGATAGGTTTAGGGATCCTATTTGTAATGGACTAAACCAATGTTCATTTTAGAAGAAATGCCTTTCTCAGAAAACACTGTACACAACACTTGCATTCTGTGTACTATGGGTACAGATGGGACAGATTTCTTTAAGAAGCTAGATTTTATAAGTTTCAAATAACTTGTTTTCTTTATAACCTTTAAAATATGCAATAAAAACTGAAAATACAAGTAAGTGTTGTTTAGAATTTAATTTTAAGCAAACTACTGAATATCTCTGCTATGCTTTAGGGATAATATCCTTTTCTGATCACAACACCAAGTCACTAATGTGAACGACTCTTGCTCAGAGAGAAAAACGCTCAGGAGAGTCCCTGTCCTTTCTAGAGAATGGTTACATTTTAATTTATTAATTTTATGTGTGCATGCTGGGCGTGTGCATGCAACAATGTATAATATGGGAGTCAGAGAACAAGTTTTGGGAGTCCATTCTCTCCTTCAACCCTGAGTTCTGGGGATCAAAGTCAGGTTATCAGGCTTGTGTGGATTTTAACCACTGAGCTATCCTGTTGGCCTAAGAATGACTGTTTCTGAGGACAACTTATAGGGTGGTTCTCAAGCCCACAGTGGTCCCTGGCATTTTTGTTAACTGTGAGATGTAAGTGCCTTCAGGGAGCTACTGTTGTTGGATGACTCCTTTGCTTTGACAATTCATTAGAAGGAAAAAATAGAGAAAATAGTCTAGATTAACTGAAGGAGGTGAAGGCAACAAGACCAAGGTGAGGCTGTACTGTTCTGAGCTAATGGCCTGGTTTGGCTTGGTAAATGTTTTGTCACTGACTGCCAGAGAAGCACTTGGTATTTCTGGATCTCAGCAGAAGAGGGAGTTCATGTTCATGACATCAGATAAAAAAACAAAAACAAAAACAAAAAACAAAAAACAAAAACAAAAAAAAAAAAACCCCAAAAAACAAGACTCTGGCAGGAGTATGTATCCCACCCTCAGAAAAATGCAATCCATGTCTCAATGTAGAAAACCAATGACAAGAGAAAGATAGCGAATGAGCTGAGTGAGTGCTACACAACAGTGAAAAACTCCAACACGTGAGTCTTACCTTCCAGTGACAGCAAAGCATAGTGAACACATCCCATGTAAGAATCCTGCGGCATGCTGCAGAAATGTGGCCATTTTGGGATTCTCATCCACTGGGCCTTGCACTGAGAGGAAGCAGCCATGCAGTCTGTCAATCAGACCCATGTTCACCACATAGCTGGTGAGAGAGAACAGGATGTCTCAATCTGCACAGGTGTCAATGTCTTCATCTTCCATGATAAATCTTACCACTCCAGTCTTGTATTCCTCAACATGCAGACAGAACACAGACTTGAATAAAGCAACTTAAGAACCAATATTCTTAGATTTAGCACTAAATAATCAACTATTCTCTGGTCATTCTTCCTGGTCTGAAAAATCTGACAATAGGTGAAAAATTCTGTAATGAGCTCTAGTTTTTTTCCCCCCCTCCAAGACAGGGGTTCTCTTTGTTGCTTTGGCTGCCCTGGAACTTGCTCTGTAGACCAGGCTGGCCTCGAACTCACATTTACCTGCCTCTGTCTCCTGAGTGCTGGGATTAAAGGTATGCCCTACCACCATCTGTCTACAGTCCTAACAAGTATTACTTTTTTAAGGACTAGGGAACCAAATTCACCACAACATAGGGGTTTAGCAGACAAAATGATGCTTCCCAGATACACTGTTTTTTCTTTGACAAATTTACACACACACACACACACACACACACACACACACACGGGGGTGGGGGAGCGCGGCTGTGTAGAGAGTAAGCATTCTGGTCTTACTGACCACCTCACAATTTATTAACCTCTCCTTTCAATAATCCCCCTCCCTCTACCATATGTTTGTGTTTTGTTTTGTGGTCCACTGAGTTTACCCAGGACCTCCCACATGAGCATGGTACTCAGATACTCTTGTTAATACTTTAAACTTCTAATGCTGACTGTAGGTTCTCCATTAAAAAAGGAAAATTAAGAACATAAACATTAAAACTCTTACTTTTAAAATAAAAAGATGCATAACCTTAACTGAACCACAGGAACAAAAAGGAATGTTTTACGAAATAATTTTCCATTCCCACTGAAAACTGTCAGTATCATGACAGTGACTAAGAATGAAAACAATTTCAAAGTAAAGAACACAAAAGAGATCTAGCAAGTAAATTCAATGTGTAATACTAGACTGGACTGTAGATAAGAAAAAGGAAATCTGTAACACCACCACATACAGGAGTCATAGTCACAGGACTTGGAGAAATCAAGCCAGTTGGGATCTAGAAGCTTCATTCCTAGTAACTAGCTTTGATAGTACTGCAAGGCTCTATGCTACCAAGGGAGAAAAGTAATCCACACTCTTACTTAGCTGTAAATAAACCCTGTGAGCTATGTTAACAACTTGCCTCCGCATGTATGTCAACTCCTGCAATAGTGTGAGAATGTTAGGGAAGTAAACAACTGCTTTCCCTATTTAAAACCTTCTCTAAAAGACAGAGCTCATGCTGGAAACATTTACTGGAGCCCAACCCCCTGGAACTGGTGAAGTTACAGCCCCAGGGTTAAGCAAAACAAAACTATTATTCTGCTAAATGGACAGAGTAACAAATTTTTCCCTTTTTTTGTTTGTTTTGTTTTTTGAGACAGGGTTTCACTGCATTGCACTGGCTGTCCTGGAACTCATTCTACAGACTAGGCTGGTCTTGAACTCACAGAAATTTGCCTGCCTCTGTCTACTGAGTGCTGGGATCAAAGGTGAGCATTATCACAGTCTGGCTAAATTCTTATTTGTACACCAACATATTAATGCATTTATCAGCCCTCATCAGAGAAGCCTTTTTTTTTTTTTTTTCTTTTCTCCTGTAGATGGTGATTAATACAGGGACAGTTAGTCCATGTGCAAACTAAGAGACCACGGAGTGATGTTCCAGATGGGACATCGGGACATCTGTGTCACCCTTCTTCCTCCCTCCTCCTGCAAGGCTCAGGGATCACTGCCAGAAGAGGGGGTGGAAAGATCATAATGTCACCTTGCACATATGAACTCACAGCAGCTATGACAACATCCGTAACACCTGCATGAAATCAAGCCAGCCAAAATCCCAACATGGATGGGAAAAAAGGCTTATTGAGTGCCACCCCTAGATGAGGAGCTACTGGCATCTGATGGCTGCTGAGGTCTATACATGTTTCTATACCTTGTATGTTTTATATACTGTAGCACTAAATGGACTTAGTGGGTTTAAAAACACACAAAAAACCACATGCAGTTGGAGGGAAAGCAGTGGTGGAGAGAAAGGAATTCAGAGGGAAAGGACTGGAACTGGATTTATCAAAGCAAATTTTCTTCATGTGTGAAATTTTCAAACAAAATATTTTCTAGAACAAACCTAAAAATCTAGCAAATTGTTTTGGCATTTCCATATACATACCAGAAGCAACTTGTAAATTTCTTTTAATTGTATCAGTCCTAGTCAACACCCCAGTCGAAATGATATTTTCATAATATCTAATCTTCTGAACCATAGAAATGGAATATATTCACATTTATTAGGTCATAAATTTTCTCAGCAATGCTTTGTAGAGGATTTATACTTGTCTTTTGATATTTAATTGGAGATATTTGATATTTTCAGATACTTTCATAAATTGTATTATTTTAAAAATTATAATTCCTAATTATTCATTGATATACACAGTTTTTGGTATAGCAGCAAATTCAATTTATAATAGTATCAAAAACATGAAGCATTTTAAAACTGATCACAGCTCCAAACTTCTACATAACACAAAGTTTTACTTAAGTTGCATGTTTATCCTCCAAAGTCTCTGAAAATTTTACTTATTTAGTTGATCTGAAAATTTTACTTATTTAGTTGAAGCTTTTACTTTCTTAATAGATTACATGTTTTATACATATGCTATTATGGTATTATAAGCAACAGCTATTTTCTCCTTTATAAACTCAATTTCACTTGTTTCCCCCTTAACTGCATTAAGCTATTGAGAACCTCAGGATAATGCTGAAACAAAAGTGAGAGTAATGGGGCTGGGAAGATGGCTCAGTCAGTAAAGTGTCTGCCATACAAGCACAAAGAACTGAGTTTGGATACCTAGCAGCCATATGAAGGTTGGGTGTTTATAACCCCAGCACTAGGAAGGGCAGAGGAAGGTGACAGGTAGATCCCTGGAGTTCACTGCCATGAAGTCTAGCCATAACAATATGCACTGAAATAATGAGACTCATTCTCAAAAAATATGATGGAGAGTAACCGAGGAAGACTCCCAATGTTGACCTTTGAATGCCATGTTCATATGTGTACACCCCACCCTCACACACACTTGTTTCTTCTTTTGAGAAGTGCCTATTCAGACACCTCACCTGTTTTAAAATGCAGCTACTTTCCTAACACTAGTTATTTGGGTTCTCAGTGCACTTTGGATATTAATCTGCCATTAGATGATTAACTGGCAAAGATACTTTAATTTAGGTTATCTCCTCACTGTGTTGACGGTTTCTTCACGTGAAGTTTCCTGTGTCTGGAACACTAGTGAGGAAACTGTTGCCTGCACCATGCTTTGTCATTTCCCTCTATATTCCTCTAGCACATTCTGAGTTTCAGGCCCTAGTTAAGGTCTCTGATCCAATTTAAGTTGGTTTCCATATTCTGTTAGAAAACAGGGATTTCTTTTCCATTTCTGTTGTAGATCTCCAGTATTTCTAGCACCATTTAATTAAAGATGCTGTTCTTTCTCCAGTGCCTATTTTTGGTATCTTTGTTAAAAAGTTAGCTTGAAGATATATGGATTTACTTGTGGGCCCTTTTTTTCCCCTTCCACTGGTCTACATGTTTTGTGCTCAAAGCATGCTGTTTTTGCTAAGGTGGTCCTGAATGTGTCTTGAGCAGGTGTCACGATGCCTCCAGTTTCCTCTTTTTGTTCTGAACAGCTTTGTCTATTTGGGGTCTTTTGTGGTTCTTTTTGAATTTTAGAATTACTTTTCAAGATCTGTGAAGAATACCATTGATATTTTGATGATGATTTTCCTAAATTTATAGATTGCTTTGGGCAATATGGCCATTCAAACTATATGAATGGCTTATATTCTGGAAAATATGTATAGCTACTGAACTGATCAGAGAGGATATCACCAGGAATTTGTTTTTCACATGTATGAGATTTCTGCATGTCTTGTGAGAGGATGCATTCATAGCTTTAATTCTGAACTTGTTTTTCTCCCTTTAGTACTGGAGACTGAATCCAAGGCCTTGTGCTATGCTCTTTTCTAGCATGGACTGTACAGCAAGCTAGAGATGGTGTTTTCTTCAGAACAAAGGACAAGTTTGTTTGATGTCAAGTATAACAAAGACTATGTTCCTTTCCAGGCAATTGTTCAGCAGATGTTTCAGCCCACAACAAAGAACTGGGATGATGTAGGTTTGGGGAGTTCCCTCAACTGTAACATAAACTCAGTTCACCTACAGCAACTACTTGTCTGGCCCTCCATAGTTCCTTTGGAACTTGGGCAAAAACAAACCAAATTCTGACCGAGAATAACAAAAATCTGTTTCTCTAACCTAGGGAGTTTTCTATCTTTTGCTGTTATCCATGTAACTTTAGCAGGCTAATATTTTAGCCTGACAGAAAGGTAAAACCTTTGACCTTTTATTATCCTTGGTAATCAATTAATATGGGTTAAAATATTAAAACTATGCTCCATTTATAGAATAAAGTACACCTGGTTATCCTTTAATATGCTGCTGGATTTCACTGCTAACATTTGTCAGGGATTTTCTATACTGCAGTCATCATAAGGGATACTAATGTGGGAGTTTTGGAGGAGTATTTTTGTCAGGCTTGGTTATTAGTGTTTCTATTGGTATCATAAAGCAAAGTGTTAAGTATTCTCTCTTCTTAGATGATCTGTGTAATTGGTAGCATTTTTTTCTCTGAAATGTTTCACAGAATTTACAAATAAAGTCATCTATAGTTGAAATTTTCTTTGCAGGGGTTATTTTTGGATAAATTTCTATTTATGCAGAAAAGCACCAATTTATATACATTCAAGGAGTTCAACTAACCCTGGGCAGGACAAGTAGAAAGGATCTACATTTAAATAGACTGTCAACTGCAGAAGGCCAAAGACAAAATCTTTAGAGTAGAGGCTGATTTCTTGTAAGAAATGATGGAAGTCAGATGACAACAGAACACCATCTTTACTTTCAAAGATGAACAAAACAGATTAGTCAAACAGTAAATATAAGAAATGTCTATGGCATACTAATATTAAAACAGAACTCTAAAATGATGGGTATTTAACCCAAAGAATGAGAAAAGAGCACTGTATCCAAAGACACGACATCTGAAAGAGCATACAGCTCTTCTAACATCATGTAATACAACTGACTAGGTAAAAGAAAATCAATACACACAGCTGGAGATACCTTTATCTTCTGAGCTCGACGGGTTCTGCAGTGCAGCTTAGGCTTACCTTCAACTCACTACTCTTCTACTATGGACAGTCTGAATTACAGGTCTGTGCTACTGACCTCCAGCACAGTTAGAGGGGGGTGGGAAAGAACAAGTGAGTAGCTTTGCCTGGGTCTGTCTCCTGACAAACAGGTCTGTCATCTTAAACCATGGTTTCACATTGGTTAAAGGTTGTTCTTTTCTTCTCTCTCTCTCCCTCTCTTCAACCACTCCTTTTTAGTAATTGTTAGAACTATGGAAAATTAGGAATAAAGACTGTCCAGTACACTATCCATACATAGATGTGATTTAAACTCGATCATTCCCCAGTGCATGATCCATTAGATAAATGTGATTAAACACTGTCATTTCCCACCTAGTTTTGAGACAGGGTCTCTTACTGAACCTGAAGTACACTGCCTGGCCAGGGAGCACCCAGGATCTATCTGTCTCTACCCCTCAGATTTTGGGTCACAGGCATGTAATGGGTATACTCAGCTTCTATACAGATGCAGGGGATTTGAACTTAGTTTCATAAAAAGCACTCTTACCCACTGAACAATCTCTTCAGTCCCTAGGTTTACTCAATTTTTAAAGAGTTAGTAGTTCTTGATGTCCACAGATAAAATAGCCCTACATTTTACATTATTGTTTTGGGAATTCCTGAAGACCCAGAACAGACAAATTTGTAGGTGCTATTTTCCTATATTAAATCCTTTCAATTTAAATTTGTTGCAGTGGTTTCTGTTTTCTACAGTTAAGTTCTGATTGATAGGATGGTGATGAATAATGCTCTCTATCATTCAGGAAAGTACAATATAAATGAAGACAACAGTTACTTACTATTTGATACCTATGAGAATTATAACAGCAAGGATATGGGAAACCAGAACTAGTTTTTGAAAACAGAAATAGAAAATTATACAGTTACTATGGAGAACAGTGTTGTATAATCTGGTAAAGATGAATATTCATTTATCTTATCGTCCACAAATTCCTTCTGTAAATACATGAACTTGAAACTCATACATACACAGCATATCTATGAAGATAAAGGCTCCATTTTTTAAGTGAATAATGAAAGGAGGAATTATTTTCCTAAGAGAACACAGGTAAACAAATATTATGGGTTTATTCATAGAGCAGAACTGCAGAACAGGTAAAATTAACAACATTAAAATATGCTGAATTTAATTGTATCGATTAATAATTGGTAAAATACTATTAGAGTATTTACATAAACGTTAAGATGTCATAAAAATTTAAAGTAAAATATATTATTTATGATAATCATACATGCTGGTACAGACACATAGAGCAGGCATGGAAATGATATATGTCAGCTCCAATACAATGATGTAGGTCTTAAATGGGGTAGGGTAAAAGGGATGAAGGTGAGGAGGTAGTTCTAGTTGTAGCATGTTTTTGTTGTTTTGTTTTGTTTTGGAGGCTGTCCTGGAACTAGCTCTTGCAGACCAGGCTGATCTCAAACTCACAAAGATCCGCCTGCCTCTGCCTCCTGAGTGCTGGTATCAAAGGCGTGTTCCACCACCGCCTGGCCGTCGCATATTTTTTCAATAAGAAAAAAAATCCAAAATCAAGATTAATAGAGAAAAACAGTTACCAACTGTTAGAACATAGTATCTACAATATTGTTTTTTGTGTACACTGACACATCTAAAAAAAAAAAAAACAAACAAAACAGGAGAATGATGGGAGATGTCATTCTGTAAATGTTTCTCATACTGGTTAATGAATAAAGCACTGTTGGCCAATAGGAAAGCTAGATAGGCGGGACTAGGAGATGAGGAGGAAAGAGGAAGGAGGAAGGAGGAGTCAAGATGGAGAGTCTGGAGAAGGCAGAACTGCCAGCCGCCTCTCCCAGTAAGACCCTGTGGAAATACTAGATTAGCAGAAATGGGTTAATACTTAAGACAGAGCTAGCCAATAAGAAACAAGTAACTGGCCAACAGCATAATATCAAATACAGAGTCTCTGTGTGTTAATTGGGGTTGGCGTGGCGGCAGGACAAGACCAGCGGCGGGCGGAAAAACCTTACTCCTTACAGTAGAACATTTAAACACTGAAAAAAGATACATTCATGCCTGTTCTGTATCAGAGACTTATGTCAGGGTTTGCTCTGAAGTACTGTGCTTGCCATTATCTTTTAAAGCCACACCAGTTATCTGGTTTGACAGAGGAGCACTGCTACTTTTTCTCCCACAATACCTTCTTCCTTTAGGAAGGATTTGGCAACTGGAATAATATATGTGAAGAAACATAAATCCTAGGAGGTGGACTGTATTGCCCCAAAGCATTAGGCTGGGCCTTCTGCCTCATCACAGTCAAGGCACGTGGTTAAACTGGATGACAGGAATGCAGGGCTGTAGCATCATAAGACAGCCTAATGGAGAATGCTGGGACACAATGACATTCATCAGCAGGGATGGCTAAGTCCTACAATGACCAAAAGGACATGAGGAAATTGAATGGGATCAAGCAACTGAGGGAAAGGGCAGGGAGGGTAGAAGACAATTTCTCTAAGATAAATGGTTGTGGACCCAAAAGGCCTGGTGCTCTCCAGCAGTAAACTGAGTTGGAAAGAGGGCAGGCAGACGGAAGGGTGAGTGAAGGAAGTAACCAAGAACAGGAAGATACCGAATGAAACAACTGTTCCCAAAAAGCAGTACAAGAAGCCAGAGGGAACTTATGAACTGTGAAAGAAACAAAGGCAGAAGAGGTCATTTTCTCTCTCTTAACCTACCATAAGTTTCAGAGAGCAACAAATTGCATGGATTTGGCATCCAAAGATCAGTGTAGACCACAGAAGGCTTGCTGACTGGTGGAACAATAACTGATTAACACCAGATGGAACCCTGCTGGGAAATTAAACGTTCTACCTGGTTCAAGATTCACAAGGGGAAAAAAGTTCAGATGCTAAAGTAGGAGTAAATTTCCCTGGAGCAAAGGAGACCTTGAAGGAAGCAGGGCAGGCCCCGAACAGGTGTCAGAAGCGGCAATGCTTGTGTGGAGGAAAGTGTACATATGGAGAGAGTCTAAATAGATGTGAGCTCCAGCCTCAGCTCTCCTCCATTCCTTTTAACTCATTACACAGCCTTGGCCAAAGCACTTAACTTCCCTGAACAATTTCCTCATCTAGTCTAAATTAGAAGCTGTATACTTACAGGGCTGCAAAGACTCCAACATCTTCCTGTAAGAAGTGTTCCATAAATGGTGCCTCTTGCTATATTAAGTCTGAACTACACATGTGACTGAGGGGAGTGCACAGATACTGCTGAGGAGGGAATGCTGCTACTGAGACACTGAAGGACTCTGGCACATTTGAGACTGGCAGCTGAACTCTTCATTGCTTTTCCTTCTTTCCACAAATGATGGGATAGCATCTACTGAAGATTTGTGGACAACGCTGCAAGAACTAGTGCTGTCTTGAAAGTCCTAAGTTCAGTTTATTTTAACATTTTTAAGCAATTTTTTAAAAAGATATGTGGTGATTTTACCTGATAAGGTCTTGAACTCGACTGTTAAAGGCATCACCTTGTGAGGGTTTGTTTTTCATTTCCTGTGTTGGTATTTTTGGTGTATCTGGCCGGCTGTTTCCATCTGGTCGGTTGGCAATCAGACAGCTAAAAACTACAGCACCGGCTCTGAGAAGTCCAGTTGTCAGTCCTTCAAAAACTTGTTTATTTGTATTTCTTCCTAAAACAGCATTATTTTCATCTGGAACATAAACCTAAAAATAAAAAACAAAAACAGTGAGTGTGCTTCAATGAAACCATAAAAGTTAGACAAGAGACAATGATGTGGAACATTTCTAGAATCACAAATAATTTCTGAAAATCTACCCAAGGCAATGAGACATTCAAGTGTGTTGGCTTAAGGTTAGGTAGCCAGTTCAAATCCCAGTTTTGCCTTTATTGATCAAGTGATATTGGGAACATATTTTTTTTTTTAAATTCTAACTTTTCATCTATAAAACAGGGATAATAACATGCCTACATGATAGATTTCTGAGAGGGATAAAAGAGCTAATGTACATAAAATGCTTAGGCACTGAGCTAGTACTAAATAAACTATATTAAAATTTTGTATGAACTAAAGTTTACATACTTCTACACTGTTTCATATGAGAATTGATTCTTAAAAATACCTAATTTAAATATCTCTCTTAGTATAAACTTTGCATTTCTTATTACAAAATGGCAAAATGTTCTTTTTTTAACAGGCAGGGTCACATTGTGTCACTCTGCAGACACTGTCTACCTTTCTTTTAAGACAGGGTCTCTCATTGGATATAAGCTTCCAGGGATCTGCCTGTCTCTGGTGCCCATCTTGCCACTGGTAGGATTACAGGCATATATGCATGATACCTGGCTTTTTATGTGTGTTTTGCCATGAAAACTCAGGTCCTCATGCTCGTGAGGCAAGCACCTTACTGATCTGCCATCTTCCCAGCTTCTCCATGATGACTTTCCTTTTATTAGTTTTATATTTAATTTTGTGAAATTGCATGTTTTAAAGAAGAATTCATTTTAAAGGAGATTTTCCCTTCATATCTTGCATGACCTCTGCTTCTTCTGAGTTCTCTCTATATTTCATATTGGAGGCCTTCTTTAAACATACTAATCATGAAGGGTTTGTTTTGTTTTTAACGTATTAAAGATTCATGCCCAGGTAAACCAATTAGCATATATAGCCTAAAACAGTAAAAATCTGTATGACTAGACTTCAATATGCTTGATTAGTGACAGACTTCAATAGGCTTGATTAGAGAGAGACTCAGTCCCCCCCCCCCAGAGGAGATACCAACTATTCATATTTTTAAGTATGTTTTCTTGGGCCAGTCAGTTTCACTATACAGAATCCTTTATTCTTTAAACCTGAAGCATGTAACATGGTGCCCAGGAGGCAGAGGTTCCTACAAGTCCAAGTCACTGATCTGGTAGAAAGTTTTTAATGATTCATCATATTTTTGTATGGCTGGCTAGTGTCTCCAGGTCCTGAATAATTGGTTCAATTTTTCTGTGAAGGTTGGAATAGACAAATACTTGGATGTACACATAGCATGCGAGACCTCAGGCATACAAGGCATCTAAAACCACCTCTTTAAAATATTATTTATTTATAAATATATACAAATTATGTGCATTGTGTGTATTCTGGTACCTGAGGAAGCCAGAAGATATTGTGGAATCCTCTAGAACAGGAGCTATAGGTGGTTGTGAGCTTCCGTGTAAGTTCTGGGAACTAAATCTGGGTTCCCTTCAAGAGTAGTAAACACTCTTAATCACTGAAATAATCTCTGTAGCCTCTAAACTGTCTCTTAATCAGACTTTCAGAAAATCTAACTTTTGGTTTATTTTAAAACACATAGGTATGTGTGGGCATATACACACAGGACACACACAAATGCACACACTCACACACACAAATGCACACACTCATGCACATGAACGTGAGAGCAAATGCTCTAAAGGCCACAGCATTTGCTTTCCCCAGCACTGGAGTTACAGGAACTGTATGTGTGGCTAGCCAAATTTGGATCTTCTATAAGATCAGTACAGGTACTCTTAACCACGGAACCATCTCTTCAGCCCCCAGTCCTACTCTTTCCAGGCCACCACACGGACCTTCTTTTTGTATCTGTCATCCTAGTCTCTCCCCTTTCTTCTCTTTTTTGTTCAGTATAGCCCACAATGGGCTCAAACTCACAATCCTCCTGCATCAGCCTTCTGACAGCTGGGATTACAGACATGGGCACTGAGCCTGCTTTCTAGACTCATTTTTGAGATTGTTTACAGTGCACACTTTTAAGCCTTTTAGGGTTTGGTGGTACAAGTTTTCCTCTGGCATTTTCCCTGATAGTTTAAAGTTGAACTTTTAGCTATATTTCAATCATCTGCTGTCCAGATTAAAAGAGGCATTTACCTTCTTCTCTTTCCCATTCTTGTTCTTTAAGAGATTATTACTGTGTTTATTTACTATAAAAGTATTGGGTCATATATAATTTATATGATCACTACATTTTAAAGTTAACTCACCAGAGATATTTTTGGTTAATGCTAGAAGTTTTCAATCTATCAAGTTTTGAATTTTTCAACAATACTGTTTTTCATCGTGAAATGTTTAAAATAAAGTACTATTCATGAATGTAAGTATTTTTTTTAAAGAAACCCTTTGATTACCTAGAAGTGTTTTATGTAGTACTTCTATTTTTTAAGAACATAGTTATAGCCAGGCGGTGGTGGTGCACACCTTTGATCCCAGCACTTGAGAGACAGAGGCAGGAGGATGTTCGTGAGTTTGAGGACAGTCTGGTCTACAGAGCAAGTGCCAGGAGAGGCTCCAAATCTACAATATAGAAACCCTGCCTCAAAACAAAACAAAAAACAAAAACATACAAACAAAAAGAAAAATAAAAAAATATAGTTAAGAATCAAGAGGAAAAAAGAATTCTTAGATATAAAATTAATGGCCCTGATTTAATTAGTTATTTATCTCACCATTAAAAACTACTTAAACACAAAACAGAGCAAGTGCTGTGCTTGCCCTTGAGTTTTCCTTATGAGAGTTGTATCTACCAAGGCATTTGGTGACAATAACAAGGAAATAACTAACACAGGGAAGGCTGACAAAGTAATGCTTACTGGGGTTCTCAGCTTAAGTATTAGGAATCAAAGTCCAGAGATTTCAAGCAACACACCTAGATTTCATAGTTACTTCACAGAGGAGTGCCTTGACTCTGGTCTGTTTTATTCTAAAGCCCACAGTGTACTTTCATGTTGGCTAAAGAAAAAACAAACAAGCAAAAACAAAACAAAAAAACAACAGTAAATGGTTGCTGTGGTAATTCTGGCTCAAATGTACTAATCTCATTGTCCAGAAGTTGTAATGTGGTTTGGGAACCAAATACTTCTTCATTTGTAGGAAGGAAGGAAGGAAGGAAGGAAGGAAGGAAGGAAGGAAGGAAGGAAGGAAGGAAAGAAGCCAAACATTATATAAACCAGGTCTGTTTTCATGCTACTCCTACGTTCTATCCCTATAGCTAACTTCTGAATTTGTAAGTATCATTTTTTTTTTTTGCAAGGGTGTCATAACATAAACACAAAGAAGGCAGCCTCCCTTGTGAGGCTTTCTAGAATGAACTCTGGGATCTCAGGCCAGGTTCTACAGAATTGTCAATATATAAGACAATATATGACTGCCTCTGTTCCTGAGTGCTGGGATTAAAGGTGTGTGCCACCACCACCACCTGGCTGGTTAAATAATTTAATTCAAATACTCAAAGATACTTTCTTTCTCCCTCTGGGTAAAACTGTTCTCTCTCTTGGTTCCAATTTTGGCAGTGTTTTAATAGAAACAGTATTTCAGCTAGGAAATAATATCAAAATTGCCAGAATTAAGGCAAAGAGAGGCTCAGTTTCAGTGACACAAGGCAGTTATGAAAGTTGTCCAAGAGAAGTTTGGCTAAAAAGAAACCAAGTGGAACTCTTTTTGCTCAGGATTGCGTAGCTGTTTCTGAGTCTTCTGTGCTTTCATATGAATTTTAGGATTGTTTTACTATTTCTGTGAAGAAAGTCACTGGAATTTTGATGGAGGATTACAATGTATGTATAGATGGTTTCTGTTAATACAGCCATTTCACAATATTAATTTTCCAGATTCAAGAGTATGGGAAGTCGTTCAATATACTTTCATCTTCAATTTCTTCAGAATTTTAAAGTGTTCATAGTATAGATCTTTGACTTCTTTGGTTAGGTTTATTCCAAAGTCTTTTTAAAGCTACTGTGTACATGTTGTTTTTCTGATTTTGGTCTCAGCATGTTTATTGTTGTTGGACAGGAATTGCTGCCTGCTGATTTTGTATCCAGCTTCTTTAAAGTGTTTATCAGATCTAAAAGTTCTCTGGTAGAATCGTGTGTGTGTGTGTGTGTGTGTGTGTGTGTGTGTGTGTGTGTGTGTGTTCTTCCTCTCAATTCTTTGATCTAAAATCTGTTGGAATTCCATATAATTTTAGGTATAGAGAAAACCATAAAATAAAAAATTAATTTTATTTTTGGAAACCAAGGTGCAAAGGATAAGCTTTCCCAAGGATCTAGGAACTAGTCAGGACTATACTAACTGCTCGTGTAGATTCTTAAACCTTAGTCTTAAGAAGAAATGAAGTAAGTCTCAGCTATATGGTTTTTGTAGCTTATTCTTCCAAATATCACAGATTTATTCATATCAGTCTGCTATTCTAGGCACAGAATGCTCGCCAGCCACTCACTGAAGACAGTCAACCCCACTCGAGACAACTCTAGTGGTGTATTATGCATAAGAGAATGCCCTGATGACCTGGCTATCATTGGTCTCTTCCTCATTTGTGATAATCAGAGCAAGGTTTTCTTTGAAAACTATTCAGAATTAAAAATAGGTCTCCTTAGCATTGCCTCAGTTTCACTGTGCTGCTTACTCAACAGTTTTCAATCCCTTCCTCCTCCAGACAACTCTGCTCTACAGCAGGATGTCATCTTGTTCTCAATACTGTTTAACTACATCACACAACATTAGCTTTTTGTCCAACTTCCACCTCTGGAAGTCATAATACACTCTGGATACTTTGAATTCACAGACATATTAACACCTTTACATAAAGACTCCTTAGCCTTGAGAAAAATTAGCTATTCTCACAACCTGCTTCCTGTATTAAGGGTTGGCCCTTTCAACTTAAATACCAGTCCACCGTGACTG